GCCCAGCAGGTCGAGGCTGCGGTGGCCAGGAGCAGCCACTGCACTCCAGTTTGGGTGACAAAGTGAGACTCCAACTCAAAAAAAAAAAAATTTTTTTTGTTGTTGAATTTGACTAGAAAAAATTGTTGTAATTGCAGCTTTTATAATTACTATGTCATAGTATTATTCTTTGCCTCGTAATTATTAATTATTTATATTTATAAAGAGTGAAGACTAACAAGAAGTGTGTAACCCCCCCCTTAATCTCTTTCAGCTACTTCTCACAACTCAGTTTCCCTTTAAAATAAGTGAAAAAGTGTTACAGGTTCTGACCAACATCTTTTTGTATCATGATTTCTCAATTCAAAACTTTATAAAAGGACTTCAGGTAAGAACACACTAACAGCCAGGTGTGATAGTTCACACCTAGAATCCCAACACTTTTAGAGGCTGAGATGGGAGGAATACTTGATCCCAGGAGTTTAAGACCAACCTGGCGAGTATAGTGAAACTTTGTCTCTACAAAACAAAGAAGAAAGGTTAGACGGCCATGGTGGTATGTGCCTAGGGTTCTAGGTGCTTCAGAAGCTGAGGTGGGGGGAGGGATGCCTTGAGCCCAGGAGTTTGAGGCTCTGGTGAACCGTGATCATCATGCCATCATACTTTAGTCTGGGTCACAGAGTGAGACACCAACTCAAAAAAAAAAAAAAAAAAAAAGAACACCCTAATGAGTTTGAAAATTCACAAGCTGATTTTAAATAATTGGCTTGTTATTTCATACTATTTAATGTGATAGTCATTTTAAATGGAAAAATCTAGAGTAAGTAAATTCAAGTTATCTTATTCTAGGTTCTGTCATTCCTTTTTACCTTTTGCAAAATGTAGGGAAGACAGTCATTAGGATATCAATTATGAAAAAAGGCTCCAATCCAGTAATTCTTAACCATTTTGGGGGTGGGGAAGAAGGTATCTTTTTTTGGTTTGTTTTTGAGAATCTGATGGAAGTGTATGGATTTTCTCCCTGGGAAATATATATATGAGGGGTCAGCAAACTTCTATAAAGGGACAAATGTTAGACATTTTCAGCTTTGCATGCTACATGTGGTCACTGCTGCTGCTGCTTCTATTTCTTCTTCTTTAGTAACTCTTTAAAGATATAAAAAAGCATTTTTAGTTCCTGGGCCATACAAAAATAAGTTGTGGGATATAACTTGATGTCCCCTACACATATATATGTATGTGTGTGTTTATTCATTTATATTCTTCTATGTTGGAAATGCCTTTTCACTAGGGTTTTATGAATTGCCATGGGTTTATTCAGGAATTTTGTGTCATAATATATGCTCTAACCTATATTCCCAAGGCAGAACAATCGCCTGAGCCCAGCAGGTCAAGACTGAGGTTACCATGAATGTGCCACTGCACTCCAGCCTAGGTGACAGAGTGAGAATCCAACTCAAAAAAAAAAGTATTTCTCACATATATTCTTTCTTTACATAGAACATTGTAGTGGTTTCTTTTTTGTGTTTTTTGAGCTGGTAGGATGCAGTCGCCAGGTTCTATCAAGCCAACCTCATCCTTAGATTTGTTTGCTCCTCTCTAGTTGAGGTGTGGTAGGATGTTCTGTTGTTTTTGGTTGTTTTTTCTTGTCACTTGAAGCTCAAGATATGTGTAAGAGAGGAGAGTGTGACACACAGGCACTAGCTGGGCAGATGAGGTAAGTCAATACCATTTACTAAGTGTGCATGTTAATACAGAGCAAAGAGCAAGGTTGTTGTGAGAAAAAAATAAGTTTCTTTTTGTAATGGTTAATTCAGAGGTGTGTTGGATATAAAGATTTGGTGCTCAGGAGAAAAATTTGGACTGGAAATCGATATTTAGGATTTATCATTAAAATGCTGTGGTTATAGTCATGTCATAAGCATGAAGCATCACCCAAAGGGAGTGGGAAAAGACTGAGGGTAGTACCCAAAGACAAGCTGACATGTAAGAGAGTAATAGAAAAGGAGACTATAACAAGGAGTGCCCACAGAAAGTAAGAGTGCAACTAAAATCAGAGGAGAAAAGTTTCAGGAAGTACAAACTGTAGTCTCCAATACCTTATGAAAGTAAGTAAAGGACACTAACCAAGTTACTTAATCTCTCTTGGTCTTAGCTTTCTCATCTGATAAGATGATCAGGTGAGATTATTTTATAGGTTCCTGATAATTTACTAAGCACTTTACTAAGTATTCACGTTGTGTTTGGCACTTTACTGAGTATTTACATTGTTTTATTAATGTGTGTTACTCCTGGGCTCAAGTGAGTCTCCTACCTCAGCCTCCCAAAGTGCTGGGATTGCATACATGAGCCACCATATCCGGCCTGTTTTGTACTTGTTTCTAAGTTAGGATGACCCTTTGCCTTACAGCTTTAGAGAATGGACTATTTGGGAGGATTCTCTCTAGTTTGGGGCCTCTCATTCTCAGCTGTATAGGCTCAGAAATTCATAATTGGTTTCTCAAGGAAGGATCAAGCTCAAGATTGCTGATTCATGCCAGTCAAATGCCTTAAGATAGATATATAACCTAGCATGTTAGCTAATGTGTGATGGAGGGTGCTATTTATCAGTGACCAGAATGTGTTTTCTCCTCTATCTATGGAGTATCAAGGTATCTGGGGGAAAAAAAACAACTTGTCATGCTGAAGTTGCTTAGTATTCGAATAATGACCTTTTAGATAGTCGTGTGACTTACATCTTGAACGTTATGTTAGAATCTGGAAAATTATCTTCCATTCTACTATGGAGCCTACAGCGTTCTATTATTACAATGCTTACATCTTTTAGATACCACATTTTCCTCCGTGGACTAAAATTGAATTTGAAAAGAAATTTTTATTAATTCATTTAAATAAGTTTGCAAAGCTTCTATCATTGTGTTTTGTTTCTATCATTGTGTTTTGTTTCTATCATTGTGTTTTGTTTTGTTTTTTTGAGTTCTTGCTATATTGCCTAGGCTGGTCTATATCTCCTGGGCTCAAGCAGTCCTCTCGCCTCAGCCTCCCAAAGTGCTGGGATTGCAGGTATGAGCTACTGCACCCAACCCTGTAGCCTTTTTATTTATTGTAACAGACATGTTTTTATTCTGATTTTAGATTGATATTTTCATATGAATTTTGAGGCATCTGTTAGACCCTTAGGTCACACCTCAGTCTCATCTACACCACATTTATAATTTTTTTGTTTGTTTTTTTTGAGTTGGAGTCTCACTGTCACCCAGACTGGAGTGCAGTGGCATGCTCCCGGCCACCGCAGCCTCGTACTGCTGGGTTCCTGGTGATCCTTCCTCCTCAGCCTTCCAAGTAGCTGGAACTACAGGCGCGCGCTACCACATCCGGCTAATTTTTGATTTATTGTAGAGCCAAGGTCTTGCCAAGTTGCCCGGGCGGGCCTCGAACCCGCGGGTTCAGGCAGTCCACTCGCCTCGGCCTCCCAAAGTGCTGGGATTACCATTTATAATTTTTATAAGTTGTTTATGTACATAGCTAATCTATCCATTTATATTAGGTTTTTTTAGTTTGGATTTCAGAGACTACCATTTTCTGACCTTGTCCACAAAATTGGAGCCTTAAAATATTAGCCATTTGTATGTTTGCAGTGTTACTATAACATTATTAAATATATTAGTGCCATAAATACTTCTGCTTTTTAAAAAAAAACAGAAACCTTAAAATTGAGCATAGGGCAAAAGGTTTACTGCTAAATTATAATAAACACAATTAATCTTCTCGTTTCTTCCAGCTTTCTCTGTTAGAGCATTTCTATTCCCAGCCCTTAAGTGTTCTGTGCTGTAATCTCCCAGAAGCCAAGAGGAGAGTAAATTTTTTATCTGATAGTCAATGTGAAAACATTCGACGTATGCCATCATTCAGGAGGTAAAAAGAGAAGTACATATTTAATACATCTTTTGCTAGAGTTTAGGACAAAATAAGGGATTTCAGATTGTTATTTTTATAAAACCTGTTCTTGGGCAGTCCTCTTTTGGGCTCCCTCCCTCTGGGGAGCTTTCCTATCTTCTTAATAAACTCCTGCTTTCTTTTGTTTGTTTTTAAAAAGAAACTGTTCTGTTTTTTATTGTAGGATTTCCTTGTTGGATTTGAAAATTTGGCATAAAGAAAAATATTTTTACAAAGGGACATAATTTGCAAAGTTCTCCAGAGTTCTGGAGTTTATGCTCCCCCCCTTTTTTTAAATGGTTAGACATATAGACTATGAAATGCAGCTGATTTAAGGAGTTAAAAATTAACATTTAACCATGATTATCATCTTGAATTTATTTTCGAGAAGAAATGAGAGTTATCTGGCCACCAATCTGGGTATTTCTTTTTCCCATTATGCTATTTAAATATGTAGAATGTTTAACTTTCTCTTTTTGTGTACGAAATGGTGAAATTTTAGGTATGTGGAAAAGCAAGCTTCAGGAGAGCAAGTTGCACTATTGACCAGTGAGAGATTTCTGAAGGTAGGACTGTGCTTGTGTTTGTTTCAGTCTCATTCTCTTGTTTTTTCCTTTCATGAAAAGGAATACGCACATAACATGCTGGGTCTTCATAGTCAATTAGGAATGTACTAAAGATGAGGCAAGACCTTAGCTCTAAAAGATAAGACTTTTTAATTAAAAAAATATATCAACTAGAACACCAAGTTTCTCTTGTCATCTGTTTTGAAAGCAATTTTCGATCTGTAGAGATCTGCTACGTAGATCTCTTTATACAGAGCAGTTTTGGAATGTGTAAGCAATCTCATTTTAATGTTCTTTTCAAGGCTGTCATAAATAAAAGCATTTAGAAGCCAGACAGCTTACGCAAATAGTGCTAAATGGGTATTGATTTGACTTGAAGAGATATCACTTTATATTGATAATATAATGCCAGGAAAGAATTATTGAGCTTAGAAAATTATGAGTTGCCGTACAACATAGGAAATGTCAAAAGGAGGAGTTTTTTTACTTTCTTGAATAAATAATACTTGGACATGGTACATAAGATTCAAAAGGCAAAGATAATATACAGTGAAAAGGCTTCCTTTCACCTCTGACCTCCCACTATTCACTTCCTGTCCCTCGGTACAGCCAGTGTCGCTAGTTTCTTATGGATCATTCTAGAGGTAGTCTCCATGTATACAAGTGATTACATATATTTTGGAGGTGCCCCACTTGTTACAGAAGATAAATATATTATATACACTCTTCTAAACCTTGTCTTGCACCTAATCTTGGAAATCATTCCATGTTAGTACTGAAGAGTGGCATAGTATTCTATGGAATTAATGTAGCTTCATTTTTTTTTTAAGTTCCTTAGGATAAACGTTTAGAAATGCACAAAGTCACATTTATCTTTATACTCCTCGTGCCTCTTTTAGGAAAAAATATTTGAAAATTGTAATAATATTAAGTTGAAATTGAATATAAGCCTTAGTACTTAAGTGTGAGTTTTACTGATAGTATTTTCAAATTTTGAACAAAAGAATGTTAGATCCTATATCCTTAAAATATGTACAATTATGTGTCAATTCAAAAAATAAGATACTTTGTAAGAATTGTTAGATTCTAGAGGGCGCCTATACTATATAGTTTTAAATACTAATTTACTTCCATTGTAAATGCTGAAAAATATTGAGAGTGGCTTTTTTTTTTTTGAGTTGGAGTCTCACTCTGTTGCCCAGGCTGGAGTGTAGTGGCATGCTCACGGCCACCGCAGCCTCAACCTGCTGGGCTTAAGCAATCCTTCTGCCTCAGCTGTCCAAATAGCTGGAACTACAGGCATGCACCACCATGCCTGGCTAATTTTTTGATGTTATTGTAGAGATGAGGTCTTGCCAAGTTGCCCAAGCTGGTCTCAAACCCCTGGCCTCAGACAAACCTCTTGTCTCTGCCTCCCAAAGTGCTGGGATTACAGGAGTGAGCCACCACTCTCAATGAGAATCGCTTTTATTAAACATTATTTCTAATGTAGAATCCACCCTGGGTTGTAATATAACACCATTTCTAGATTGGGTTCAGTAACCATTTTAATTATGTCTGTAACCATTTCAGAACTGCATAGGAAGTCCTCACACCCAATACAGGTTGTTTTGATAGAGAGGAAATTTAAGAGCCAGTGGGAAAGCATGTGTGCTTATTTATTCAGTCTTTTAAAATTAGTTAGATTAGCTCTCTGCTGAGTCAGCTAGTTGCCAAGTATATTTCCTGCTAGAACTTTCTGTCAGTATATTTTCAGAAGTTGGGAACAGATTTTTTAGAGTACCTTTAACCACTGAGATGACAAAGGAAGAGAATGTCTAGGCTGGTTTATTATAAAAATACATAGCCTGACATTTATCTTTGCTTTTTAGTGACTTCTAGTAAGGATATATTTTCTCAAAATTTATTTATACTATTCTTGTTCTTGTTGCACTGCCAGCCCTGCTTGTTATTATCTTTGCTGTGTTCATTTCAGGACTGCATATTCTGTCATTTAAGCGCTTATTTTCCTGAAAAATATGAGAGGAATGAGAAATAGGGAGGAACATAACAGTATGTACCATTAACTTGAAAAAGTTACCTGCCAAGTACCTGCTCCAGTCAAAGAGCAAAAGATGTCTATGAAAAACTTAATGTGCCTGTTGATTTTTCTAGTTAAAGTATCTGAATATTTTATTTTCATCATAATATTTCTCTTTGTACAGTTTTGTAAATACATATGACAGTCAATAATGAGGTACTACCTGATGTAAGGGACTACCCTGATCTTGACCTCAGAAATCTTACGTTTGAACTCCAGCTACTCACTAGCTATGTGTATTTAAGAAATCACGTAGCTTATTTAAGTCTTAATTTTTCTTATGTAAGGAAGGATAATAATTCCTAGTGCGATTTTTTTTTTTTAAATAGGATTAGTGATCATCAAAGTTTGTTCAGCATGTGAAAGTGAGTTGAAAATAAATATAACAATAAAACTTATAAAAGTATAAAAAATAAATATTGTTACTGTTGTGTATTTTTACTGTCATTAAAAATTAAGATATCAATATGAATATACTGTTTTACATATTATATATTATACTATATATAATATGTATAATGCTTTTAGGTTATATAGTTATGTAACTATGCCTATTATTAGAGTTTATCATTTTGTACATTTCTATATTCAAGTTTCTAAGCAATGGGCCTCAAAATATACTCCAGAGAAATTTATGCTCCTTATATCTAAACTGTTTCTACCCTAAAAATCTGCTTTGCTTTCTGTTCTGATGGACTAAACCAGTAGTTCTCAAACTTGAGTATGCATCAGAGGCACCTGAAGGGCTTGCTAAAACACTGATTTCTGGACTCCATCCCCAGAGTTTCTGATTTCATAGCTCTGGGATGGGGCCCAAGAGTTGGCATTTCTAGCAAGGGCCTGGGTGATGCTGATACTGGAAACCATTGTTTGAGAACTGTGTAACTAGATCGACTCCCTAGAAGAAAACATTTGTTATTGTTTCCTCATTGCCTCATTTTGCGTAAATGTAGAACTTATAAGTTCCCACCTAAACAAATGATTCATGACTCATTTATCCTGGGACTGGACTCAAGATGCTAAAACAAGCCTTTTAACTCCCTCAAAATTATGCACCCATTAGTTTCTTAGATACTACATCAAAACTGTGTGTCAGCTTTGAATTTAATTAACTTCAGGAATGAGTTTTTTCTTTTTTTGAAGTGTGCTTTTAAATTTAAAAATTTAATTGACTGAACCATGTATATTTGTAGAAGATTCACTAGGGATTTCAAACTAATGGAGAACATTAGAAGGCCATGTACAGCTGATGAAACACTAAAAATCTTCATGCTATGTAGAAAGCTTAGATTCAGTCCCTTGCAAGTGACAGTTGAAATTGTATTGTTCTGGCTCGTTCATGCTTCATATCTTTTTTTTTTTTAATATATGAAACGCTTCACAAATCATATCTTTATACCTCTTTTCCCAAGTAGATTTTGAATCCATTGGGAGGGAGAAATAAATCTTGAACTCTTAGAGCTATGATATATTACTATTGGGAAGATAACCTAGTTTAGCGCCCTCATTTCACAAGTGAAGAACAGCACCCGAGAGAAAGCAAGTGAAATAACTGAGGCCACAGAGCATGTAAAATAACAGAGGCCACTTAACAGTAGAGCAAGGACTCATTTTCCCCACTTGGTGTGCCTGTCGCAGTGATTCATGAACAAAAGACAAAACCAGTTCATGGGTTTGGTGGAGACTTATCTTCTACCTTCACTTCCACCTCTTTCTGTTTCTTTTGACAGATCAAAAGAGCAAAAGGAGGGAGAAAGTCTCTTAGGAAAAAATAATAAATGGAAAAGTGAAGGAAAACCACTGCAATCTATGAAATGTGGTCAGATAAGCCTGTATGTCAGTAATTGACCGCCTCAATCTAAACTTTCCTTCATCAAGTGCTTCTGACCTGAACTGCTGGGTAGGAATATAGAGAACAAAAGGCAGAGGCGGCATTCATGTCATGTAAGAGCGAGACAAAAACTATGGTTTGGCCCTCTGTTCGATAGCAGTAATATGATAAGTCAATATGGCCGGCCAAAATCTTTCTGAAATGAGAAATTGGTATGTTGTTAGGCAGCTGATATCTCTTAATCTGCAAATTTAATGCAGGATGTTTTACCAGCTTTTTTCCCCTGCTTTTTTTTTGAGTTGGCTTCTCACTCCATCTCCCAGGCTAGAGTGCAGTGGCATTATCATGACGATCACGGCTCACAGCAACCTTGACTGTCTGGATTCAGATGATCCTTCTGCTTCAGCCTTCCAAGTAGCTGGGACTACAGGCACACATCACCAAGCCCAGCTAATTTTTTTATTTTTTCCAAAGACGAGGTCTCACCATGTTACCCAGGCTGGTCTCAAACTCCTAGGCTCAGGCAATCCTCTCACCTCGGCCTCCCCAAGTCCTGGGATTACAAGTGTGAGCTAACATGCCTGGCCTATCAGCCTTGTTGTTGTTGTTGTTGTTTTTGAGTTGGAGTCTTACTCAGTCACCCAGGCTGGAGTGCAGTGGCATACTCACAGCCATCATAGCCTTGACCTGCTAGGCTCAAGGCGGTCCTTCCACCTCACCCTTCCAAGTAGCTGGAACCACAGGCATGCGCCACCATGCCCAGCTAATTTTTTTGATTTACTGTAGAGATGAGGTCTCACCGAGTTGTCCAGTCTGGTCTCAAACCTGTGGACTCAGGCAATCCTCTTGCCTCAGCTTCCCAAAGCGTTGGAATTACAGGCGTGAGCCACTGCACCCAACCACCTTTATCAGCTTTTCATGGTCAGTGAATTGATTGAAAATAAATTACAAAAATTTACAGTTGTTTTTACATACTTTATGTTAATCTTCTTGAGGTCACTTCACTCCTATATGGAGAATTCTAGATACAAATGGGATAAATACTCTGAAAATAGAAGAGAAATAAATGCAACAGCAAGGCATCATGGCAAATGTTATTCTGCCTAATTTTTTTCTTTTCCTATATATTTAAGTTTTACATATATATTGGCTTCTCCTTCCAGGAAAGCAACTATCTGAGTAACAATAGCAGGCCTGTCATATAAGTAAACAGTAATCACTATATGAGTGATTTTTGAATGAATAACAAGATTGATGAGGCTGGAGATGACTGATTTAAGAGGCTGTGTTGCACACTGAGTGGCAACCCACAGACTAATAATAAGTGTGTATGTGTTTTAGGGCCATACCTTAAAAAAAATCAGTTGACATTTACATATTGAGAAAGTTTACATTATAAATTCTGACATTTGTTGTCTTTGGAAAACTCAGGAAATCTAGGCTACATCCAGGAAGACAATAAAATGCCTGCTCTTATCTAGAAGAAAGACTGAGTGTTGGCCTCATTTATTAATGTACTTTTTCATTCAGCCAGTATTTTTTGAGTGCCTATTATGTGCCTGGCATTAACCTAGGTGTTGGGAACACAGGAGTGAACAAAACAGACGAAACTGCTCCCTTCATGGAGCTTAAGTTCTATAGGGGAGACAGACAATAAACAAGATAAATAATTAAAGTATCTGTTAGTGATAAGCACTAGACTGAAAACAATGAAGCAGAGAAGGGGGTATAAAGTTCCATGTGTATGGCAAGTAGAGTGGAAATTTTAGATCAAGGCCTGACTGTGAGAAGGTGAATTTTGAATAAAGACCTACAGAGCTTGCCAAGCAAGAATCCAAAGGGAGAGCATTCTAAGGTAGCAGGTGGAAAGAACCTGATGTTGCAGCATGTCTGCCATATTTGAGCAACAGTGAGGAGGCTGCTGTTTTCTGCTTTTCTTATCACAGAGAAATATTTATTTGACTGTAACTGTCTCAAAAATCAGTAAAGACTAAGAGGTCATGATATTTCAAGAACAGAGAAAGTATATTTCTGCCAGAAATAATGCATATTCCTAGGCAAAGTATATCTCTGGAAAAGAATCATTCTAAACCCAGTTAGAAAATAAAAGTGACAACTATGACTAGTGTACAGAAAAGATGCCTGAGGACAAATTTAATGAGTGGAAAGTAGGATTAATATTTCAACAGGCTCTATTTTCCTATGTGCATGGTATGGTGCTGCTATAATGTATTAACTGGGAAATTTTTTCATACATCAAAACCTTTTGCAGGTTTTAGTTGATAAAATAGTGTCCATAAAATACATTAGGAATTGATCCTCCAGATAAGTAAAGGCAGATACAAATTTGCAGGTATCTGTCAGTAAGATGGAGAACTTAGAGGACAGGTTATATGAAAATGTTAATGACATTTTTTTCTGTTGCAACTGATAATAACACAGATGTAAACAACAGTGGAATCTTTCTTATGTGGCAATTAGGTCTACAGTCAGCAATAAGGCAAAAATCTGGGATGAGAAAAACTACTCTTGAAAAAATCCCTTAGAAATGTACAACCAGCCTTCTCTCATGTTGACTAAGTCCATAGAGCCAATTTTATTCCCCCAGTGTTGAACCAAACCTCCATTTCCTCAGTTGAGTATCACATAAAAGAGTCTGCCATATTGTATGAAAAAAACAAAACATTTTTTAAACACTAGAACTTCACTCAGCACAGGGATGCACCTCAGAAGTATGAAAGAAGTGAGACCACCTGGGAGAAAAACATATTCATATCCGTCATCTTATCAGCTTCAGATTTCTCTTCATGACTTTTTTTCTCTCTAATTGGCAAAGTGAATAAAGCCAGTATTGGAGAATCTCAGCAGAAGTCAGGGATTTATCAGAATCATTGTGTTATTTCTGCCATAGTCTTGCCTTTTTCCCCTTCAACACACTCCAGCAGCACTCCAGGAAAAGCAGACGTTGTAAGCAGAATTTCAGCAGCTGTTAATTAGGTTAGCACTGTGGTCGCTGGCGATCTCTTCTGATGCTTGTGAGGAAAATGACAATGAACCTCCCCCCCTGTGGCACACACCAGGTGATTGGCACAGGCAAGCATCCATTGTGGTACTCTTGCACATTTGTAATTTTGGGAGCCAGGATATTGTGGGAATGCTGGAGATCAGGAGATTAAATTGCACTGTCAGTTCTGATTTGTGTAAAATATCACCACACTTGGTATTAAGTTAGACATACCCAACCTTTGTCCTGGGTTTCATGAGTATTTTGAATTTTCATGAATTAAGAAGACTAACTTGTAGTTTTGAATCTTTTCTCATCAGTTTTTCAGAAAGTATATGTATCTGTGAAGTAGATTTTATTATGGTGTCTTATTACTGACTTTTAGTAATATGTTCTGTGATTTTTAGGAAGAAACACAATCATTACTAGAAAACCTGCATGTTTACCATATGAATTACTTCCTGGTTTTGAGATGTCTTCATAAGTTCACCTCTTCTCTTCCCAAGTACCCCCTGGGTCGACAGGTAATCAAGCCTCATTTGGAATCTGTGAACTAAGAATATTAGTACTTTTTTGCTTGTGATTTCTGTAGCATTCAGGCATCAGAATTTGAACTGGATCCAATTTTTACAATGAAAACACAGTTTAAATCCATTCCTGCTGTATACATTACTGGTAGTGGAAACTTTTTTGCTCTGACAGCCATAGCCGGAAACAGCCACATGAATCCTAGTGTTACTGCTTCCCCTACAGTGTTTTTGTGCTAAGGCATTTAAATACTTCTTTGTCACCTGTACTGAGAAAGCTGGTTGGTTCTTGACCCTCCATGAACTGGGAAAAGGAATCTGTTTGAGAATACTTAATGGTTAACTTTGCGTTGCACTGAGGATTAAAAAAGGGAAGCAGTACTTCTGCTCCTTGAAAAAGTATGCTTAGCTGGTCTTTGTGTCACACCATAAGCTTATCAGCCATTTATAGAGAAATGTTAATGGGATAATTCTGTGTTCCTAAATCTTACCTCAAAGTTTTGGGAAGCAAATACCAGTTTGTGAGAACGACCTGGTTGTGAGGTGATTTCTGTCATTGAGTCTTTAACGAACCTCTTTTCCTCACTTTATCATTTTTTATTGCAGTGACCAGTGATATCAACAAATCTCAGTATAGTCTCATTTTACTTTTATGTAAATTGTGTTCTTAGAAATCCTGATTCATATGATATATGTCATCTGTTGTCATCTAAAGAAAATGATTTTTTTTTTTTTTTTTTGAATTGGAGTCTCACTCTGTTGCCCAGACTGGAGTGCAGTGGCCGCTCCCGGCCACCGCAGCCTCCACCCGCTGGGCTCCGGCGATCCTTCCATCTCAGCCTTCCGGGTAGCCGGAATTACAGGCATGTGCTACCACGCCCGGCTGATTTTTTGATTTATTGTAGAGATGAGGTCTCACCAAGTTGCCCAGGCGGGTCTCGAACACGAGGGCTCAGGCAATCCGCTCACCTCAGCCTCCCAAGGCGCGGGATTACAGACTGAGCCACCAAGCCCGGCTGAAAATGATTTTTTAAATTTAGTTTTGAGTTGGGGGGTCTTACTCTGTCACCCAGGCTGGAGTACAGTGGCATCGTCACAGCTCACCACAGCCTTGGCCTTGCGGGCCCAGGTGATCCTTCCACTTCAGCCTCCCAAGCAGCTGAGACTACAGTATTGTTCTCCCGTGCCCAGCTAATTTTTAAAATTTTTTGTAGAGATGAGGTTTCACTATGTTTGTTGCCCAGGCTGGTCTGGAGTTCCTAGGCTCTAGCAGTTCTCCCACCTGGGCCTCCTAAAGTGCTGAGATTACAGGCATGAGCTACCACATGCAGCAGAAATGGTTTAATAGCAGTATTTTTTTTTTATGTTGAACATATATGGTTTTGCCAAGCTAGTTCTGTGTATACAGAGTATATCACATTTAGTTCCTCACAGTTGTGCTGTTCACTTACAGATCAGAGAGTTGTACTGCACATGTTTAGAAAAGAGCATATGGGATTCAGAAGAGTATGCATCGGTTTTGCAGCTACTGAGGTAGGATTTTGTTCCTTCTGTTTTTGTCTGCTGTGAGCCTGCCAGTAAGTTGCACCTTCCTCTAGAACTCTGCCTGCCAAAAAGTTTCATAAGTGGCTGTGTTGTGTCTAAGAGTGTTTGTATATATCTTGAATTTACGCTTGTAGCTTATGGTGTTTTTAATGTAGCAATCATCCACTTCCTTGCTGGTTTTACCTTGTATTTGAACTTGTGATTTTTAAAGGAAAACTCTTGATTAGTCAAATATTGACACTATGCTAGGAGGGCTTAGATATGGGTCATTTGAATCTAGCCAGCTTGGTGTCATGGCAGGAAGAGTGAGCTCGCTCTGTTTTCAACCTGACTGGGTGGAGGAATAGCATCACTGGGTGGGGCGTGCCCAGCAGTCACTGCCAGCCTCGTTCAGGAGTGACAAGGAGAAGGCAGTGGCCTTGCTACCCTCCCCTACCGCAGCCGGCTGTGTCCGTGTGAACGTGGCATCGTCTGTAAGTTGTTTGTCTAGTCTTACGCACATAGATGAGGTGTCTTGGTGCTGTTACCTGGCTTCTAAGGTTACCTACCATCTCTGACAAATATACCTGTTAAAGTTATTGATTGTGTTCCTTGGCTGTGTTTCTTGTGTGAATGATGACTTTAGCTACCCGTAGAAATAATGAACATTGGGACAGTGGGAAAGGGAAGTCAAATGTGAGCGGTTCTTCATATAGTTTTGTAATTTTTTCAGTGGATACAAATGCTTCTATGAAAATATGATAAGAAGTCTGAAAACTGAGTATTTATCAAGTCTTGGTTTTCTCTGGGCCTTACAAGAAAAGGACAGATGGGCACAGTAGGAGGAATCCACACTGAAAGCACTCTAAGTTCAGAGACTTAATACAAATATTAGTGATGTAGCAGGTACAGCTTAAGATAGAAAACTAATTTCATGCTCGCTGGAAAAAAATACCTCCCCGTGGAAACTAAATTGCCAGTGAAAATCTGTGTTTTATTTCATTTTTTTAAAACCCAGTAAAAGATTTCTTATTTCACCTATAATAAACTTATTTCACCTAGAATATTTCTGAGACTTCTCTTGCTTTCCATAACTGTCTTAAACACCCAGTTGATTCTTCCTGGGTGATGGTCTTCCCTCTCAAGTGAGGTGTTCCCAAATTCATAGATTGCTCTGTCCAGAAGGAACTTGTTTCTTTTCTTCTGAACCTCCTGGCACTGATTGCACTGGCACTGATAGAGTACAGTCAAGGATCCGAATGCCATTTCCAAAGGAGAGTAAAGAAACATGAGCAATAATAATAACGGTGACAACAGTAACCATCATTTATTAAAGACTTGCCATGTACCAGGCACTGTGTTAGTCACTTTCAATACTTTTATTTTTTGGGTCAGCGTCTCACTCTGTCGCCCAGGCTGGAGTGCAGTGGCACACTCACAGCCACTGTAGCCTTGTCCTGTTGGACTGAGTTGATCCTTCTGCTTCAGCCTTCCAAGTAGCTGGAACTACAGGCACGTACCACTATGCCCAGCTAATTTTTTTATTTATTGTAGAGATGAGATCTTGCCAGGTTGTCCAGGCTGGTCTCGAACCTCTGGGATCAGGCAATCCTTTTACCTCCAACTTCCAAAATGCTGGGATTACAGACGTTCAGTACATTTTAGAATCTAATACTCTTAATACACCTTTGTGGTAGATATTGTTAGCCACACTTTACCCCTGAGGAACTTGACGCACAGGTAGAGGTTAAGTGACTTCCCTGAGATCCTTTAGCAGCTGATGGAACCAGGATTCTACCCCAGATCTGACTTCAAAGCTGTTATACCTTCTACTATTCTTTGCTCAGACCTAAAATAGGATTTGGAAATCTGAGCAAAGCAGAAGCAACAAATAGAAAATGAGATTTCAGTCATTTTCCTAAGTTGAAATCAGAAACAAAGGTAGTCAAAAGTGTAGGAATGTAAAAAGTACAAAGGATCGAATATAACACCTACAGCAAGGACAGGTACTGCAAGAGAACAAAGAAATGTGGGAACCTCCAGACTGGAATTATTTTCTTTTTTGAACAGATTAGATGTGGACAAGGAGTCAGGCACACTTTTCAGTTTAGGCATTCTCAATAGGCATCATCTGAATTTAGGACCATTCTTATCACTATCTTCAAACTGAAATTCAAGTCATAAGAGAAAAGATTAAAATTATAACAGAATGATACTTTGGAAAGGAAAACTGCTAAGGCATTATTAGAAACATAGTCTACTAAAATTACCTATTTGAAATTTTTTTAAGCAGCAGCTTGAAAGATTTTTCAAGGAAAAAATTCCTTTTTACAGGTTGAGCATACCTAATCTGAAAATCCAGAATTCTCCAAAATTGGTAACTTCTTTAGCACCAACATGCTGCACCATAAGTGGAAAATTTCACACCTGACCTCATGTAACAGGTTGCAGTCAACAGGCTCTCAGTGCAGTTTATTCAGGCTGCCATTGTTTGTTGTTATTGTTTAACCTGATACAGATATTCTGGTAATAATACTGTGCTGCTTAGCTACCCTGAACACATTATTTTTTCACTCTATTATTGGTATGTCATATTTTTGACTGCCAAGTATTTATGTGTGAATAAATACAAGAAAATGATTGCTTCTCAGTAGCATATAAATTCAGAGTGAGGAATGATGGTGATGTCACACAACCACAGATGTCCACACGGGTGACTGAGATCATGACACTGTCATGATGGTTGTTTCTGATGGTTCAGTACTTGGGTTCATGTACAAAATTATTTAAGATAGTATATGAAGTTATGTTCAGGTTATGTATGTAAGACATATATGAAACATAGATGAACTTTGTGTTTTGTGTTTGAGTCTCATTAAGATAATCTCATTATGTATATATAGCAAATATTTCAAGATCTGGAAAAATCCAAAATCTGAAACACTTCTGTCCCAAACATTTCGAATAAGGGAGACTCAGCTTGCAAGTGGAAGCTGACATGTTTAAATAACTATGGATCTACTTGACGAACTAGCTGGTGACCATTTAAAAAATATTTACAGGGTGTATTAATATGGGAAAAGGTCTATTTTCATATATTGTTGAGTGAAAAAGAACATACTTTTTAAAATGTATGCAACAGACATTGATGTGTGAGGTGGGCATGCCAGTGTACCTGTATAATAGAAGCCGTAATTTGACATGCATGTACACATATTCCACAGCCTTTCTTCACTCAGTCAACTCGTGGAATGTAAGGACCGTGTCCCTGTATGGGGTATGAGTTGGCTAATTTTTCACTCAACACTTTGTCATTGTTTAAGGGTATATTTAAGTTAAGAAGCCATTTGGGAAGAAGTAGTAAAAATGATGCTAACCCAACTGTGAGCACAACCGTTTTTCCTGGTCAGTTATAAAAAACCGTTAAGGTAAGGACAAATTTATCCTTCTGTTGGAGAGGATTTCTTTTTTTTTTGAGTTGGAGTCTCACTCTGTCGCCCAGACTGGAGTGCAATGGCCGCTCCCGGCCACCACAGCCTCGACCTGCTGGGGCTCCAGCGATCCTTCCGCCTCAGCCTTCCAAGTAGCTGGAACTACAGGCGCATGCTACCACACCTGGCTAAGTTTTTTTGATTTATTGTAGAGATGAGGTCTCACCAAGTTGCCCAGGCGGATCTCGAACCTGCAGGCTCAGGCAATTCACTCACCTCACCTCCCAAGGCACTGGATTATGGGCTGAGCCACCGAGCTTAGCGGACAGGATTTCTAAACACCTATCTAGAAATCAAACACTAGACCAAGAATTTTCACACTTTTAAAATTCACTGAACCATGCATAAACAATAAAATTTTAATGGTTAAGTAAATTAGAGTGTCATCAACTTATAGGAATATGATGGGTCACCTGGACCTGAAAAGTAGTGTACTCTCATACCAGTAGCAGTGGATTCTTAGATTGGACATAATGAAAAGTACGCCTCATTTCTAAGGGGAATCTACCTTGTCCTCCCTCCCCCATCAGTTGAGGATTACTCATCTAGAGTTATCCCATTTTCTTTTTTTTTTAACTTTTAAATTTTTTTATTTTAAAATTGTGGGGTACAATTCTAGGTTAAGTATACCAATATTCATTGTGCAGGTACCCTTGTTGATGAGGTGTGCCCCCACTTCCCCAGGCAGATTTCCACTACTGTCAATCCCATCTCCCCCCCCCGCCCCATTTTCCCGCAACTGGCAATGCTTTTCTTATAGTATTGCGATAGTTGTTCAAGGTCCACTTATGAGTGAGAACGTGTGATACTCAGTTCTTTGTTTCTGTGAAAGATCACTCAGTATTATAGACTCTAATTTCATCCAGGTTGCTGCGAAGTTCATGATTTTGTTGTTCTTTATGGCTGCGTAATATCCCATTGTGTATATGTACCATATTTTAAAAATTCAGTCCTCTTTTGATGGGCAACACAGTTGGTTCTGTGTTCTCGCTATTGTGAACAAAGCTGCGATAAACATACGTTTGCAGGTATCTTTCTTATAGAGTGATTTGAGTTCTTCCGGGTATATTCCCAGTAGGGGGATTGTGGGGTCCTATGGAAGGTCAATTTTTAGAATTTTTAGGAATTGCCGTAGTGTTTTTTTCCACAGAGGCTGTACTAGTTTACACTAGTACAGGGAAAAGTGTTCCCTTTCCGCCACATCCTCTCCAGCATCTGTTATTTTTGAGTTGTTGATGACGGCCATCCTGACTGGAGTTGGGTGGTATCAGTGTGGTTTGAATTTGCATCTCCTTGATGACTGGTGAGGCCAAACACTTTCTCCTGTGTCTGTTGGCTGCTCGTGTGTCTTCTTTTGAGAACTGTCTATTCATGTCTTTTGCCCACTTTGTAGTGGGGCTGTTTGATTTCTTCTCTTCAGCACATTTGAGTTCCTTGTAGATCCTAGATGTCAGGCCTTTGTCAGACATGGAGTTGGCAGATATTTTTTCCTCATCTGTGGGCTGTCTCCCTGCTCTC